CCAAGAACATAGCAACTCATCAAGGAACCACCGAGGGCCTGTGGGCATCCCAGGAACATAAAGGAGTATTTGTAACAACAGCAACAGCAGTGGCAATGTTTTGAATGGGAGCATGTGACATCAGCAAATGGTATCAAAGAGAAAAGTCCCTGCTCCAAAATTATGTGAAGAGTATATTGCTGGTTAGTGAGTCAATCCACAGAAGACAACCAAGGATACATGTCCAGAAGTGCATGTAAAAAAGTTAGCTACATCAGGGTTTCTTGGAAAAGCTCATAAAGGAAGGACTGTAATTATAACTGGCTTGGTGAAGAAGGATTAAAAATGGAGAACTGAGAGTTAAATTACAACTGCGTAGAAAAAGGCTATTTTATTGAGATACATTGAAACAGAATGCAATAGTAGGAAAACGTCTACCTAAACTGTAAGATGTCTTGCCATGCCGCAGAAGTCCATAGTTGTGGAAGAGACTGGCATGAGATTGGCTTGAGGTACATCATAGTGTATACATACTTGAAATATAGTTGCTGTATTTGACTTTGTTGCCATATTTTTAGTGTCATTTACAGTACTGCTAAAATTCATGAGGGTTCATTTACAGTATTCATAATCCTGAGGGTAGATGAGCTTTATGTGTTTGTAGCATCAAACTTCTATACTTGATTGCTTAAAGTTTCATCTAATCCAAAAGACGGTGAAATATCAGTGGACTTCCAGTGGATGTTAGCTCACCTGAGCATCATGTCAAATATGTAAATTGGTAAGATTTTTGCAAAAAGTCTGAGTATGCCCTGTGCAGTCCCCCAGGGTCCTCACTGATTTTGGCTGGGACTATAGTTTGACAACTTGAAAATGACTGCGGATGTACTGGGAAGTAGATGCAGACACCCAGTTTGGGAATGTTAGATGTTTGCTTTTGTAGTAGAGAAAAAGTAACAATGATGCTCCCCAGCTAGCACTGAAGTGGTATGAATTGCTGTAATTGCTGTGATTCAGAGCTGGGCAGTTCCATATGGAAGAGAATAAGCTTAATAGTCAGTGGGCAGAATATGGAAAGTTATGGGTCCTGCATAGTTGTAGCTTGGCTGTCTTCCACGTCAGTAGTATTTTGCATTGCTGTGTATGCTGTTAACACCTTGGTATATATGAATAGTGTGGTCACACTGTAGCTGCTTGGGGAACTATAACTTTGAACTGTGTAAAATTTATTCATGTGATTTCCATGGAGAGGTTGGGTTTTTTTTCTGATGGAAGATAGTTAATTAGAGTAGAAAGGTAGGAAAATAAAAGGCACAAATGTATGCTTATCTCATCCGGCTATGCAGTTAGCTTACCTGCTCTTTAGTTATATGGTACCTTGAATTGGATGTGAAAGTAATATGGAAGATATCTCGGCAGAGGGGTTTCCACATATTTATATTGTAGCCTCCAAAGATGTTCAGCAAACCTGGCAGCTTCTGTGCTGCCACTCACATTGCTGATGACGCACATTGCAGGGTGGCTCTGCTGTGCAGTACAGGTCAGGGACAGCAACATTTTGGTAGACTTGACGTGCAAATTATGATCACAGCATTTGGAGCTCAGCTTGCTCCTGTAATTAAAAAACCAGCATAAATCAAAATGGAAAATACTGTAATCAAAAATTTCTGCTTTTTATTAGAGATCAACTACAAGAACTGTTAATTACCTGCAAGATTAGTGGATCTTTAATATCTTTTATAATCTGTTTAGTTTTGTCCTGAGGGCTGTCTAATGTTGAACCACACATTATTAATTACTGTGGTGACCTTCAAGCAACCTGTGAAGACATTTTCACATTTACTCTGGTCCCTATTTGACACATTCATGGAACATATACTTCTTATAGCCCTTTTCAACCCTTTTCATGCAGCAAAGGAAGGATGGGGGTTTTTTATAAGTATTGTTTATTCTTACTGTCAGGTATTCTAGAATTCAAGTAAACACAGGCCAACACATGTAAAAATTGTTCAAGAAAATTTGGTGTCAGTATGTTTCATCATTTCTGATAGGTGGCTGTTTCATCATTTCTGATAGGACTGAGTGTAGAACAGAAGCTGTGTTAAAATAATTAAAAAAAAAAAAAAGAAAATCCTTCATACCCATGAGGTACATGAAGTATCATTAACAGAGTTCATGTTGTCCAGAAATGAAGTCCTGGGACTATATGACTTTGGGACACTGTTCTAGTAAGTCAGGAGTGGTATCAGATGGAACAAATTTTGCACTGTTTTTACTCAGAGGATCTGTTGTAGACAGTCGTGGGCAACAGGGCTGCAAAATGAACCTGAGTGAGCTCTGGACAGGTGGAAAATGGAACAAGGAAAGAGCAATCCCTTCAAAATTATCTGCAGCCTTTACTTTGCATTGTAATATTCCTCCCATCTCCAGTGTTTCCTCCTTTCTAGGTTAGAGCAGTCCTTTACATCATGCAACCCATTCTCTGTGTAGGATCGTGGCAATTTCTAAATGATCAAGCAAGATGATATGCAGCAAAACTTTATGCCCTTCATGGCATCCTGTATCCCCTTTCAAGAACTGGTGCTTTAACATGTTCCTGGAATAACGTTAAAAGTAGCCAGTGTGTCCAACATATGGTTTGGCTGTGGAGTGTAAGTCCATACTGTTTGCAGGTCTCACCTGCAGACAGTAAATATTACTCTTTTAGAAGAAGATTTCAAATGATATAAATTACCAGCAGCTTCACTTTCCTTGACAATGTAAGGTAAAATGCTGGGTTTTGTGCATGAGGAACTGAGAGGTGACACAGATGATCTTCTGATGATTTTCTAATGCGATTTTTCGTATGTAATATCAGGGCTTTTGGCCAAGAGGCAAGGCAGGGGGCTGTGGCAGTAACCTCCCAAACTGCCAAGTGAGTTTTGACAGGGCAAATCTGCAGTGTCGACAGGAGGGTTTTCAGGCTGGTGGCATGGGTAGATTTCAGATTGAGCAAATTAGCTGACAAAATGGATTTTGAAGGTTGCTGTGTTACACTGAGAGGTCTTTGCCATGGACAAAGGAAGTGACAAATAGCTTTCCTTGAAACGGATGCCAGCCACAAGCTGTAAATCAGCCAGCATGGAGGTAAAGCAACTAGAGAGACTCGTTTCTCTCCTGAGAGAATGAGTGTCACATCAAGAAAGCCCATGTTTGAGCATCCACAGGCCACTTGGACTCTAACACTGGCACATAAAGCAGTTGTCGAGCTTTATGGTTTCTTGGTTTGGGTTTTTTTTCAATTCTGAAAAATTACACCCCCGCCTTCTTGCTGGCAAAGCCTGTCCTAGTGAGCACTCTGCCCATCAGCTCTTGTTATTCCACCAAAAGCCTGACTTTCACCTCTTCTTTCATGCTTTCTTCTTAGGTCAAAATAACGGCAGCTGCCTTTTAGTCTTTGGCTGTCAGACAGAACTGAGCTGTTCTGCGCCTTCTGTATCACTGTGGACTCTTCCCCTAAACTGGTGGTGCATTTTGTTGAAGAAACATAGGTTGGAGTTATCTGAAGTCCAATTTAAATGTCAGAGCAGTGTAAGCTTTTATATTATCAGTAAATAATTCTGAAATTATCCTTACTTTTGGCGACTGGTTTGAGAGTGAAAGAATGTCTTGCATGTAATTACATTACCAGGGGCTTGCTTAGTTCGGTTTAGCCAATCAACTGTGTAATACTTTTTATCTATGGAGTGGTTATTTACTTAACTGGCTACATGTTTTTGTCTTTTAACATTTTTAAAGTCCAGCTAAAGCTGTGAGAGTTAGAGTAGTGCTTTATTTATTAACATTTTAAATTGTTTATATACACTGAAGTAGAAGATAAGCTAAATGTTGTTTCTGTCCAGGAGAATATTTGTAGAGGTGGGTTGTTCACTGGAATTGGCAATAAGAGACCCCATAAGTGGTATAATTATTGATTATGCCTTTGCTAGGATGTCAGGAGCTTTTCCATTGTAATCAAACTGTGAGCAAATGGGAACATCTTTCTTGCAGCTGAAAAGGTAGTTCATTCTGAATTATTGTGTGTCAAGCCAGGGTGCATTGCACTACTGAGATCTGAGTTGCTGCTTACAGAAGAGGAATACCTGTGCTGCTCAAGCCATGTGTGTCTGCTTCTGCTGATGCATCTCCATCTGAACTCAGCTCCTAAAATAATTGTTGCTTCATCACTGAAGCACACCAGGCTCCTGTGAACAAACATGTAATATTTCTGCTTTTAACTATTGTTACTCATAGTGATGTAGACCAAAAGCTGTAGGTTGCCTGTGTAGACTCATGGGAGGCAGAGCTGATTGGCAGCAGTCTTCTTTAATATTAGTAAGCAACATTTCATTCATTTCATGTCACCTACTGAAAAAACTGTAAAGGACAGGAAACCGTTCTGGCAGTTCCAGAGAATGCATTACTGTAGAGGGTAAGTAGTTTCCTCCATTGCTCATTTGCTAGTGGAGAGATGCTCAGCTGAACAAGGGCCAGAAATGGAAGTGGTAATCATTAAACAAGCAAATCCACCAGTTGTGCTCTCCAAAAAAAATCATGGCACAACATACTTCGCAATCCTGAGAGGTGCTAAGTCTTCTGTGCAGGGGGAGGAGGACATACTCCATGCTGTGGGATGAGGGTGCTCAGCACCTTACAGAATCTCTCATGGTCAGCTGCAGAATTTGTGCGTCTGGGCCTGGGAACTGTGATCTCCAAATTTCTCCCCTATCTGCAGAGCTATTCAGACACAACATTAAAGCGTGATTTGAATGTTCAGAGTAGCAGATAATGGTTAACTGTTTTTAAAAACAGGTCAAAAGTTGCTGCTTTCCCCCTGGGGTTTTTTGAGACACGTTCTTTTGTCTTCCAGCAGTTGAGAAAATAACCCCCCAAATTAGTCATTTTGGTTAATTTGGAGATCCCCTCTAGTTAATCAATTCCATAGGGAAGAAAAGTTTTTCATGTGTCAATTACCATTGCTTTTTTTTTTCCTTTTTTTTTAGGTGAACATGTTTGTGGAAGGATTCCATGATGCTATTCTTCTTTATGCTCTAGCTTTACAGGAAGTCCTGAAGTTTGGTTTCAGTAAGAAAGATGGGGAAAAAATTGTTCAGCAAACACGAAACAGAACATATGAAGGTAAGTGTTAATATGGAATTCCAGCTTTCAGATTCAAAAAACCACAGGTCTTCGTTGTGTGCAGAGCAAGGACCTGTGCCTATTCCACTCCTAAATAAGAGGCAAATAGCCATATGAAACCATGTACCTCTTTAAGGCTGGCTCACATACCTCACCAGTCTGACTTTTTTTTGCACCAACCCTTGAAGTCTTATTCAGCTCAAAAAACTCCTAACAATTTAATGGCCCTCACTGATGTTGTAAAGAAATACCAATAATTTTCTCAGGCTCCTGCTTTGTTTTTGAAAAGATTACAGCTGCTCGCTTTACTCATGTGCATCTATCAGCTCTAAGATTGCCTCATTTTTTCCATTTGATTTTTTTCTCTTAAAAGCCTGGGAATGGATAGAAGCAAGCAGGTGCCAGCTTTTTTTTGGTTTGTTTCTTGATGGGGCTCCTTTGGGCCCTGGAATTTTTTCCCCCCCAGCCTCTGTTCAGGAGCTGTGTGTGTTATCTCAGAGGCAGCAGCTTCAGCACTGTGCCTTTCTGTGCCTAATCCTGTGGGTTGCAATTCTGCAGTGCAACTGGCACTTGTATGTCACCCTGCTGATGCAAAGTAGTGCAAGTGCTTTCACCAGGTAGGGATGGTAATAAAGAAACTGAGGGTTATTGGATTCATCTGTCATCTCTTAGAGTATTCCCATCCATCTCTTTAAAATATTCCCATCTACTATAATACTCCAATTTTTTGGTGTAGGATTGGCAAGATTTCCTATGGAAATGCCTAAGAGAAGGAAACATTTCCCCTAGATAAGAAGCGAATTATTAATTTGAATGTGTAAGAAAAAACACAGTGGCCAGGTTCTCTGCTCTAAGAACACACCGGACATAGCAGAGGAAAGCGAAAAGGACAGCAGCTCCAAACCTCTTCTGTTCTCAGATTGTGGCCTGAACACAAGGAAAAAGGGTCCCCAGGGCAGCTTAAGGCAAGCCAGAGATTGCTTTAAATTATGCTGGTTGCAGTCATCCCATAAGGAGCCTTGCACCAGCTGGAGATTGTGCTTGATGTCCCACTACCTTCTTCCGCATCCGTGGCTTCCCAAAACACACTGTTTTAACAGAGGGAATCTGGTGTCTAAGGATTTGCCTCACTCTTTGGTTATCCTGTGTATGAACAGATGCCCCAGCACAGCCTATCTGGGTTTTCTGTACTCCTACTTCTCTGCTCCAGGAAGCCACCAGCTGGTGTGCCCATGCAAGTCTTTTATAGTACCATGTGCTCCATGCAGGTTACATGGTTGATTCTCACACCTTTCTTGTAAAACCAACCAGGAGGAAAAAATGTTCTTTCCCCTCTTGTGAAAACCAGTTTGTTGTTGCTGGCTGACCTGTCACAGCTATTCTGAAAATGTAGCTGTCAAGTTGAGCTGTAAGGGTGCAGCTGAAAAGGTCAAAATGCCATCTAAGTCATATGCCATCTCCTCCTTGTGGCACTACTTTGCTGTACATAATTTACAAGGATGAAACTGATTTTGAAAGAGGCCTTTAACTTGTGTCTGGCAAGCCAGTCCTTTTAGGAAAACCGCATCCCTTTGTTCTACCTGTAAGACCTCTGAAGTGGATGCAGCATGACAGATTACAGTCCATGCACACACCCACCAGGCTCTACGGTAGGACTGAAGCTTTAGAATTCACTTGAACTTTTGCAGGCCTCGATGAAGAGAACTCCAGTTTCATTAATGACATTAATTTAACTGCTGACATCTAGATATCTGATTGCCTGGGTGCCTCATTTTACAACCTGCTCTGAATAGGTGACCCATCAGAACTCCAGTGAGATGAGGATGCTGTTTCCTGCAGTGTTCACAATCTGCCAGCCACAACTGCACAGGCAATATCATGCACTTAGGAAAGCATAAGGCTGAGGTGATCAAAGGATTTCTTAATGCTTGGGTTGTTAGAGACACCCTGATATGACTGCAGGGAACATTTTGTGGAGAATATTTTCTATTCATTGGCATTTCCTCTGAAAAGTAGCAAAAATTTCTGTGTGTAAGTATCTAACATTATATAACAAAAAGAGAGTGGTTAAAATCCTTCCACCCTCATCCAAACACAGCTCTTCATTAAGGTTGTTTCAAAATTTCCTAAATATGTTTCATAAGGAAGACCATTGCAGGAAATGTTGACGTTTCAAACTCTTTGTTTTCATTCAGATGGAAGAGTTAAAAATTAGTCTTTCCCATTAAAAATATCCCATAGGAATTCTGAGTTTCAGCAAATTTCAGTACCTACTTCCAAAAATTGAGTTTTGTTTTTCTTAGGCCAGGAAGGTGTCTGTTCCAATTAACACCTCCTGTCAGATCCAGAATCCAAATTGTCATGTAGGCAAGGATGTTGCAGCTCTTCATAGTGGCCTCTTCCAGGGCTTTCACAGCCAATTGGTTGTACCCATTCTATTTTCCTGTAGTAATCAAACTTGCATTGTTTGATTACTGTATTGCTGCACCAAAACATAGATGTTTAACAGTAATGATGACCACTACATTTTGAAGATCACAGTAGGTTTAAACATTCCTGACGTCACGAAAGGGGAACAAAGACAAGATAAATGTAGGTGTGTTAATCTGTTGCATGTTTACTATCATTAGGTGTGTTGAGGGCAATTTATACTCTGGCTGAATATCTGACCTCTCTCTTCTGATTTATGGTCAGAGAATCTGATTCTCTACTGCTTTGTGTCTGGTTTAGTCATGTAGTTTGTGTAATGTGGATGTAAAATGATGCCTCTTTGACTTGCCTTGGTGTAAATGGCTACATTTGGTGTCAGGTGGTGGAGGATCACATTTGAGAATATCTGAGGTGATAAAGCATATCAGCAAAGTCTCGCAGTTTCTTCATCATAAGGTTAGATCTTCATTGGACTAAATTGGTATTGTATGATCGATTTAAAAAATCTGTTTGACTTATACTGCAGGATGTTGGAGCCATGCTCTTTGTAGACAAGGGCATACATTGAAAGAACAGGTTCAGACTGAATACAAGGAAGTGCTTTTTCACCAACAGTTGCCCCAGAGAGGTTATGCAGTTTCCATCCTTGGAGCTTTTCAAGACCGGATAAAGCCCTGAGCATCCTCCTCTTCTGACCTCCTGGCTGGCCCTGCTCTGAGCAGAGGGTTGGACTAAAGACCTCCTGAAGTCCCTTTAAACTTGAGTTATCCTATGAGTCTATGAGTCCCGGTTTCCCTAAAGTTTCCTAGACCTTGTAAAGGATGGAAGTGAACTGGAGGTCTAAAAATACAAACCAAACAGCACCATGTTATGCAGTTAATCCTATGTACCTTTACAGGACTTAGTGCATATGTAATGCACATGGTGCCTCTTGTCCACACCCCCTCCAGTATCCCGTCAGATGGAAACATCACTGGACTGGCTGTATGGGTGCCCTGACCGCATCCTCTGCAGCACACGAGACGGACTGTCCTTACTGAGGCATCGTTAGGTATTTTAGGGTTAGGCTTTCTGTAAATAACTCACATTAAGTATATTTGTGCTTTATTTTTGCATGCTGGCTTTCCAGATTAGATTTTTCTCACGTATTCCCCAACCAGTCTCACACATTTGATATTTAAAAAGGAGAAATGTTAAGAATTCAGGAATGCAGACACTGAGATGAAATTACAATTTCTTTTGGAATGCCAACAAAAATGCTGGGAGACTGATGAGATTTCCTGTCATATCGGTCTGTAAAAACCTGTCCACTGTTTTCTTGTTTTGCTTGGAAAGGCTCAGTATTCTAACTAATTAATTTTCTAATTCCTCACATGCCATTCTTTAGGCATTGCAGGGCAGGTGTCCATCGATGCCAATGGAGACAGATATGGGGATTTCTCTGTGATTGGAATGACAGACCCAGAGGCAGGCACACAGGAGGTAAGGAAACAAACACCATTGCAGTTGTCAACTCACGAGTTAGCTAGTGTAAGGTAACATTGTATCATCTGTTGACTTGGTAGGCACCTGTTTAGTTAATCTACACATTTAAAGGGTATTGCTTAATCCTGTCAATCTGGGGCCCAAATCCTTTCTGCAAAAAAATTATCTTGAAGTAGTTATTCTAAATTTTTTTCTAACTTTCTTAATTTGCTCTTTAACAGTACCAGTCTTTCTTCACATGATACTAGAGACTTCAAAATCTAAAGGATGAAATCTCACATGCTAGCTAAGCACTGATAAATTCTGAATGTGAGAAAATACTGTTTAAAATGAGTAAGGACTTTTTATTGACTGGCAAGAACAAAGATTAATCTTATAGTAACAAGGATGCTTGAGTTACCCTGATGTATAAACACAGTGAGCACAGGTATTTTACTCTTACCCCATGGTCAGCCACAGGCAGGCGTGTAGACCTTGCCTCACCTTGTTTATCAGGCAGTAAGACCTGAGCACCTTGTTTTCAATGATTAAGACATGTTTTAATCAGAGGGCTCAATGTACACCACGTGCGCTATTCCACTGGACATAGCAGGAGTGGAAGCAGCCAGACTGTGAAAAACAGTCTATGAGAAATAGCACCAGCTGCACATAGTGAATAGCATGACTGGGTTGCGTTTATTAATACATACATAGCCCAAACTGCAGCTGCAGCACACAGCTTCTGTTAGTTGCAAAGTCAGCATCAGCCCAAGCTTTGCTGGCCTCCGCTATTTCATCAAGCTCAAACATAAAGCAGCAGTAATCTGAGCTGGACATTTGCATGTGTGGATTTGAATCTGGTGATACTGTTCTTGTCAGCGGTGCGGCAGAGACAGACTCAAGAAGCCTTTTTAAATGAATAAGGATGTCTAGTGTGTTTTGGTGTGCAAAAGTGACTGAAAAACTCCAGCAGTAAACTGGAGACACTCCCACGGGTAGGAGTAATCATTAATTGAAGCTAGGAGTACAAATTGGTTGGTATAACTTTGGTTTGAACAACTTGTATCTCTTCTGTTTGTTCAGTCCATTAGCTTTTTATCTCGTTTATCAAGTCAATCCCCCTCTCCTAGCCTTCCTTCCATTGCTCATTCACTTGCAATTTAAATATCTTTTATTTCTTTGATGTTACATTTCTCCTTTTAACACGTTGCTCATTTTAATTTCCTTCTGCTTTTTTTATGATACATACAAATATACATGCTATTAACGTCTTTTACATGGGATTACTTATTACTTGTGTCTGCTACATTCGTTTCTACCCTCATGCCTCACTTTAAAAACATTGTTTCTTTGATGCCTTGTTTTATTCATTTTGCTGATTTCTTCCATGTCCTTATGAGAATGTTTCACAGCTGAACTGAGCCAGATGAATGGGTGTTTGGGCAGAGCTGTTCTCCCAGGTCCATTCACAGAGTTTAAAGCTAGAAGAAAACACCAGATTACCTACTCTGACCTCTGCTGTATTACAGGCAGGCAGGTTTCTTTCCTTTGCATGTGACTAAAGCTCATGTAGTAACAGGCATTTGTTTTTTCATTTGGAGATACTGAAGAACAGGGACTGCCTTGCTTACTCCCTCAATGTTTGTTCCACTGTTTAACCACTCTTGCTCTTTAAAAATTTATGTTCTACTTCTGATCTGAATCCGTTCGGTCCCTGCTCATAGCTATTTATTCTTCTGAAGTCATTCGGTATGCTTTCATATTTAGTAAGCCCTGCTGGTAGAGGACTCTCCCACTCCTGTTTGGTAAATTAAACAGTCTCTTAATGAATAGTCTGCTTCCTGCAAATGGTCTCTGAGGTTTTTTTCCCTCTACTTTTTCCAGTTTACTGAATTTGCCTTTATTTTTGAACAAATGTTTTAAAAAGTATTTCTTCTAAGGATTTATCTCCCAGTTGCAAAACTGGGAGAAAAATTAGCTCCTTTACTTAGTGTGAAATCTACCTTGGTGTATCTAACCAGGGCAATTGTTATCTAT